GAGAGCTATACATGGGACGAAATCAGATCCTGGAAGTATTCCTGAAGAATGGGGAGTCTGTCCAGTTTAACTATTCTTGAGTTGGATGTGAACTTCCTTGTGGGTGGAATTCCGGCTTCCATTGCAAAGCTAAAAAATCTTGGAAGATTGTTTCTTCATTAAAACAACTTATCTGGTAATATCCCGTCATCATTGGCAATCTCTTAGATTATTTGATCTTTATCTACACACTAACAATTTGAAGGAAGCGTTCCATTAACCCTAAGGAACTGCACCAATCTGCAGAACCTGTACCTTGGCGAAAATCCTTAGTGGCAATATACCGGATCAGGTATTTGGCTTTTGTGAAAGCTTGATAGTTGTTAACATATCTTATACTCCTCTTCAATGGTCCCCTCCCATCAGATTTCGGCAATTTGAAGAATCTTATAGTACTGATTGTCAGTGAAAACAAGTTTTCTGGTGAAATTCCAGCGAGCCTTGGTGAATGTTCTGAGTTATCAATTCTCGACTTGGCGGGAAACTTGTTTCAAGTAGTATTCCTTTGTCATTGGGTTCTCTGAAATCTCTTGAAATGTTGAATCTTCCCGTAATAGTTTATCTGGCACAATTCCCCAACAACTACAAAATCTTTCTTTCTTGAAAAGTTTGAATCTGTTTTAACCACTCGAGGGGAGGTACCGACAGGAGGCTTTTTAAGGATTAAATGCTTTTCATCATAGGAAACAATAAGCTTTGTGGAGGAGTTCCTGAAATACGGCTCCCTTTATGCCCAAATCAGAGCCGAGAAAGACTTCACTCTCTGTCAACAAAGGCCACTATTGCTATAGTCCTCTGCGTTCTCTTTCTACTACTATAGTGTTTGTACTTCTTATTCTTTGCTGGAGGCGAACATATGGAAAACAACTTGCCCTACATCCATATTGGGTGGTAGCTTTTTGCGATTTCCTACAAAGAGCTTCTTCAGCGACCGATAATTTTGCATCCCATAACTTGATTGGTGCTGGAAGTTCTGGCACAGTATATAAGGATCCATTCACAACTAGAAAAACCTGTTTGCATAAAGTGCTAACCTGCAAATCGTGGTGCTTCAAAGAGTTTCATGGCTGAATGCAAGGTTTTGAGCAAAGTTAGACATAGAAATCTCTCAAGATAATAACCTCCTGCTCCGCTTGGACACAAAGGCAATGATTTTAAGGCTCTAGTTTTCGAGTTCATGCTAATGGTTAGTCTTAAAAGATGGTTGCATACAACTGACAATCGGGATGAGAAATTTGAACCTATGCAAAGGTTAGATATTGCAATCGATGTGGCTATGCATTGATTATCTTCATCACCATTGTGAGACTGCTACGTTCATTGTATCTAAAGCGACCAATTTCTTCTTGATGATGACATGGTTGCCATGTTGTGACTTTGGTTGGCTAAGCCCTTTCTGGGGCTTTTGTCAACTTCAGTAGAGATCAAACTACTTCCTCTGGAGTTAAAGGACCATAGGCTATGTCCCCAGGTACATTCCACTATTTTATCCCTTTAATATAGTCTAGCACTTTTAAGGTAATCTACTGTGCTTTTAAATTGTTTGTGTATTAAAATAGTTATTGACTTATTGCAGAATATGGAGTGGGCGCTATTGTGTCCCCAGAAGGGGATGTCTACGCTATGGGATTCTTCTGCTAGAAATGATTACAGGAAGAGACCAACTGATGAAATGTTCAATGAAGGTTTGAGCCTGCATGAATTCTGTAAATGGCATTGCCAGAGCGAGTGAGGGACATCGTGGATTCGGATTTGCTGGACTATTGGATGAAAACATCTCCATGTAAGAAATGGGCCCTTGTAGAAGGTAAATGCTGGAGTGTTGGTTCTTTTTTGTAAATCGGAGTTGCATGTTCTGCAGATGCCTGGTGAGCAATGAACATTGAAGATGTTATCTCAGAACTGCAAGCAACAAAGACAAGGATGTTCGCAGCGAACAAGCGGAAACATAAATTAGGCTCTATCTAGCATTTAGAACCCAACTAGCCACTACTTTTTTCTTTTGTTCTTCTTTTTTCTTTATTACGTCCCGCTTCCTTGCTGCTCAAAAGGGAGTGAATATGCAGGGAAGTAATAGAAAATATGCTGGAGATAAGAGAGGAAAAGAGAAGGCTGGTGGTCAGTGGGGAAGGCAAAGTGGAGGAAGAAATTATCCACCATGTTCCCACTGCAAAAAGAAGGGACATCCGGACAGCAAGTGCTGGTTCAGGCCTGGGATTCAATGTAGGGGATGCAAGCAGTTCGGCCACATTGAAAAAGTGTGTAGGAACAAGGCTGCATAGCCACCACAGCAAGCACAAAGTGCAGATGACCAGCAGCAGACCAGTGAACCAGAACAACTGTTTGTAGCTTCATGCTACTCAATGCAGACCAACAGAGATGTTTGGCTGATAGACAGCGGATATACTAACCACATGGCAGCAAATGTGGAGAATTTTGTTAGACTGGACAGGACTTACGGCTCCAAGGTTAAGGTTAGAAATGGGGACTATGTGGAAGCAAGAGGAATTGGAGATGTAGCAGTCCAAACTCAGGCAAGGACTAAGGTTATTTCTAATGTTCTATTTGTACCTGAAATTGCACAAAATTTGCTAAGTGTAGGTCAAATGTTAGAGAAAAACTATACCTTGCATTTCCAAAACCATTCTTGCATTATAAAGGATAGTGAGGGAAATGAGTTGTTGAGCGTGAGGATGCTTGGTAAAAGCTTTCCTCTGGACTGGAAAAAACCAGAAAACTCAGCATTAATCACCAAGGTTGAAGAGTCTGAGTTATGGCATAGAAGACTTGGACATTTTCATTACCTTGGAATTAAAGAGCTTAAGTCAAGGGACATGGTATTAGACCTGCCCGAGATAGAAGAGAAAAGGACTTTGTGCACAGCCTGCCAGCTTGGCAAACTCAGCAGGCCATCATTCCCTTCGGATCAAGCCTGGAGAGCAAGTCACAAGTTGCAATTGATCCACTCGGATGTGTGTGGTCTAATGAAGACAGAATCTTTAAATAGCAGCAGGTACTTTGTACTCTTCATTGATGATTTCTCAAGGGTGGCTTGGGTTTATTTCTTGAAGCAGAAAAATGAAGTGGCTACTGTGTTCAAACAATTTAAGTTACTGGTGGAGAATGAAGCTGGAACCTTGATCAAAGCAGTAAGGACAGACAATGGAACAGAGTACACTTCAAATGAGTTCAAGACGGTCTGCAGCCTAGCTGGAATACAGCAGCAGTTCATAGCACCATACACCCCTCAACAGAATGGTGTTTGTGAAAGAAGAAACCGAACCATTATGGAAATGACCAGGTGTATTATGGCTGGAAAAAACCTCCCTAAAATGTTCTGGGCAGAAGCAGTTAATACAACAGTTTTCCTACTGAATAGGCTGCCCACCAGGGCAGTCAAACATCAAACACCAATTGAGGCATGAAGTGGAGTCAAGCCAGCAGTAAGGAACCTGAAAGAATTTGGAAGCATAGCCTCTGTGATGATCCCAGCCAGCAAGAGGTCCAAGTTGGATGACAAGGTAGAAATTGGGATATTTATAAGCTACAGCAGCAACTCTAAAGCTTATAGAGTTTATGTTCCTGAGTCCAAAAGGATTGTAATCACAAGGGACATAAAGGTTGATGAATGTGGAGTCTGGAATTGGGAAGAAAAAAGGGTTGATGTGTAGGCTGAATCAAGTCAGAATGAGAGAAGTGAGGGACTGATTCAAGAGGCAGATTCAGATGAGGAAGAAAAACATGCTGTTAGAGGAACTAGAACTCTGGCTGATGTGTATGATAGGTGCAATATGGCAGTGGTGGAACCAAGATGCTACCTGGATGCTGCAAAATCTGAATTGTGGAGGGCTGCAATGCAGGAAGAACTGAGTATGATTGATAAAAATCAAACCTGGAAATTGGTACCAAGACCTGAAAAAAGGAAAGTCATTCAGGTGAAATGGATTTTCAAACTGAAAATCAACCCTGATGGCTCAATCTACAAGCACAAAGCAAGGCTGGTGGTAAAGGGTTTTGCACAGCAACCAGGTATTGATTTTTTAGAAACCTTTGCCCCGGTTGCTAGGCAAGACACAATCAGGCTGCTGTTGGCACTTGCAGCTCAGTTCAACTGGAAAATTTTTCAGCTGGATGTCAAGTCAGCATTCCTGAATGGATGGATTTCAGAGGAGCTGTATGTAGAGCAACCCGAAGGCTACAAGGTTGAGGGAAATGAGGACTATGTGTACCTACTGAGGAAGGCCTTGTATGGCTTGAAGCAGGCCCCTAGAGCCTGGTACAGCCGAATAAATGACCACTTGTGCAGCCTTGGATACACTAGAAGTCCTAATGAACACACTCTCTACATTAGGAAAACTGAGAAAGGAGTGGCTGTGGTTTCCCTATATGTTGATGACTTGTTGGTGACAGGGAGTAATCCTGATGAATTGGACCAGTTCAAGTTGGATATGTGATAGAACCTGTCCTGCAAAAACACCAGCAATACCACAGAATATACCACAACACACAACCAGTCACTCACAATCAACAATAAAATGCCCAGTTCTATTAATATCTGCACAGAACACTACAACTAGAACAATACTTCCAGTAGCCTTGCTCTATCAGTACTCACTAATCAAATGTACTAAATAAACACAGAAAACGCAATAAAGGAAATGGTACTAAGGCTGACTTCGAGGGTCAGTCACCTCCCAGAATACTGACTTCGAGGGTTAGCTGCCTCCTTGCCAAATTAACAATTTTCTGCTTGATTCCTCTTTTTCTCTCCTCCCCTTTTTATTCATTCCTGGCACCTTTTGTACTTCTAACCGAATTCCTATTTTTGCTCCTGTCAAGCCATCTGTCCTCTCTAACAAACTCCAACCTTTTTACTTATTCCTCTACTGTTTTACCCTCTTGCCCTTCCTATGGTATACCAATCCTCTGGGTTGTTCATCAATATGCAAGCTGAATTTGAAATGGCAAATTTGGGATTGATGAAGTACTTTCTTGGCATGGAGATAACTCAGGCTGCCGGTGAGATTTTTGTGTGTCAACAAAGATATGCAACCGAGCTTCTCTTAAGGTTTGGAATGGAGAATTGCAAACCAGTGAATACTCCTCTTGTTCCCAACCTGAAATTAAGCAAAACAGATGGTGCAGAGAGGGTTGATGAAGGGAAATACAGAAGCTTAGTGGGAAGTCTGCTGTATTATACAGCCACCAGACCTGACCTTATGTTCACAGCAAGTTATCTCTCAAGGTTTATGAGCAACCCAAGTGAATTGCACCTTAAGGCTGCAATACATGTGCTGAGATATGTAAAGGGAACTATCATGTTAGGCATCTGTTTTAGGAAGGCTGAAAGTCTGAAATTGTTGGGGTACACTGATAGTGATTGGGCTGGATCCCTGGATGATGCAAGAAGCACCTCTGGTTATGTGTTTTATCTGAATAAGGGTGCAATCAGTTGGATATCAAGGAAGCAAGAGACTGTGGCACAGTCTACTGCTGAAGCTGAATATGTCTCTGCTGTAGCAGCAGTGAACTAAGCTATGTGGCTGAGGAAAATGTTGGATGACTTGCACCAAGTGCAGGGTAGTCCTATGCTGATCCTATGTGATAACCAGTCAGTTGTGGCAATGGCTAAGAATCCTGTACTCCACGGCAGAACTAAGCATATTAAAATCAAGTATCATGCTGTTAGGGAAGCTGAACAGAGTGGGGAAGTAACCTTAGTGCACTGCAGAGGGGAAGATCAGATTGCTGACATAATGACAAAGGCATTGTGCAAATCCAAGTTTGAAGCCTTTAGGCTAAAACTTGGTGTTTCCAGCCAAAGCACCAAGGTGGAGTGTTGAAGATTGGTGCTGTGCTGGAAGTAAGATTTGCTGTAAGTTGAAGTTGTTTTGCTGCTGTGGATGGACGTGCATGGTGCTGTTCTGAAGTTCAATAGCTTAAGTCCTTCTGTATATTTTAGTGTTAATTTTGAATTAGTTGACTCAGCTTATTTTGTAATGAAGTTGTTTGAAGTTGTTAGAAGTGAGTGGTTTAGCTGAGATTAAGTGAAAGTTCTGACAGTAGTTGGAACATTGAACAACAGCATGTTATATTCAGTTTTCTGTCTAATGAAAAGTAGTCCAGTTGTTATTCATTCTCTCTCTTTTCTTTGGACAACCGGCATTTACAAAAACACTAACAGCCATAACAAAATTCTCAATAAGGAAATTTATTGAGATGAAATCGAGTTCAAGAATGACCAGTCTTTGGTCCTTCATGTTCCACAACATGATCCTGTGGTACATGAACTCCTACTCTCTGGGATACGCCGCAAACTTTCAGAATGAAACAGATAAACTAGCTCTGCTGGCCTTCAAAGAGCTGTAACCCTGGATCCCCATGGAGTCTTCAACTCATGGAACAATTCTGCTCATTATTGTTATTGGCAAGGAATATCGTGCAGCAGTAGGCACCATGAAAGGGTGATAATCCTAGATTTAAGCTCACATGGCTTGGTGGGTCCCCTGTCACCCCACATTGGGAACCTCAGCTTTCTCAGGATCATCAACATCCAAAAGAACAGTTTTCATGGAGAAATCCCGTCAATGCTTGGCCAGCTTCATCGACTGCGAGTACTTCACCTGGATATCAATTCCTTCCATGGAGAAGTTCTAACAAACCTCACTGGTTGTACAAACCTTAAGTGAATCATTCTTGTTCAGAACAATCTGGCAGGGAAATTGCTAGTTCAGTTGACCTCTCTACCAAAGCTTGAAGTTTTAGTCCTTACTAAAAACAATTTCAAAGGAAAAATAAAAAATCCCTACCTTTCCTAGGGAATTTCTCATCTCTGGTCCAGCTCTCACTGAATGAGGCAAGGTTAGAAGGAAGCATTCCTGAGGATCCTGGAATTTCTCATCTCTTTCAATGAACTTGAATGTGCAGTTCCTGAAACTGGCATATTCAGAAATGCTAGTGCTATTTCTCTTGCTGGAAACAGAAAGCTCTGTGGCGGAATCTCTGAACTGAAACTGCAAGCCTGCTCTGTTAATGACAACAATCGAGGAAATTCTTGCACTCTTAAACCTGTCATTGCAATAATTGCAGTAGCTGTTTGCCTAACTTTGTTAGCAGGTACAACTGTACAAGAGAAAAAAGTCGACTAAGAAGCCTTCTTCTGCTTCATTTGATCCTCAGTTGAAGAAAGTTTATTATGGTGAGCTTCTTAGGGCGACTGATGCTTTCTTTGAAGCAAATTTAATCAGTGTCGGTAGCTATGGTTCCGTTTATAAAGGAATTCTTCGCCCAAGGGAATCAATCAGCGAAGGGGAGCTTCAAAGAGCTTCACCTCGGAATGCAGAGCCCTCAGAAACATCCGCCACAGGAATCTCCTGTAAAAATAAAGTGTCTGCTCAAGTGTGGATTATCACGGTAATGATTTCAGAGCTTTAATCCACGAGTTTACGTCGAAAGGAAGTCTAGAAAATTGGTCACATCTAAAACAAGCTGCAGACTCTGAGCATGAGGTGGAAATCTCAGTTTCGTTCAGAGATTAAGCATTGCCATTGTTGTTGCTTCTGCGGCTGAGTATCTTCACTGTCACTGCCAAACACCAATAATTCATAGTGATCTAAAACCAGGCAATGTACTTGTTGATGAAAACATGGTTGCTCATGTTGGTGACTTTGGGTTAGTAAAAGTTCTTCCTACCATTTCTGGTGGTTCTCTAAATGTCAAATCTAGCTCAAACATTATAAAGGGCTCCATTGGCTATGTTGCTCCAGGTATAAATATACAACCTTGTTTATGTCGAAGAACTTTTTGGTCTCTAAAACAGCTTATCAATTTCATGTGGACATATTTGCAAAATATGGCATGGGTCAACAAATCTCCATTTAGGGAGATCTATATAGCTATGGAATACTTCTACTGGAACTGCTCACAGCAAAGAGATCAACTGACGACATGTTTAAGGACGGTAAGAACCTCCACAGGTTTACTAGAATGGTGCTGTCCAACGTGATGGACATCGTGGATCCACGTCTGCTGCTCGAAGAAGACATGACAGAGAAGAAGCAGGTATTAAGAGTTGGAGTGTCATGTTCAATGGAAACTCCCAGGGACCGGATGGTAATCAGAGCGTAGAGGAATTACATCTGATAAAAAAGTCTTATGCAGGAGACGGCTAGCCATAAACTGAGGCGTCTTTGCTTAGCAGTATTTAGCTTACAATAACTTTTCAGCCATAATTGAGCTTGAAGCTTCATAATGAAGTGCTCCAATTTTCAGTTTTCTTTCTCTATCTACAATTCAGCCAGTCAAACTCTATAACTTGAGTTTCAAACTTGATTTTGCTGAGTGGTTTACTGAAAAAAAAAAAAAAAAAAAAAAAAACAAACAAACAAACTTGGCTGTATGATTTTCAATTTCTGCAACCATACGAGTTTCAAGTGAAACATATGAAGTGATTTGATTTAGGCTTTACCGTTATTTGATTTAGGCCTTTGTGGTTTTCACCAGACATACTATAGTCTATACCAACCTCGTTAACATTATCATTTCTGGGTACAAGGGTTGATATAGTTCACGAAAATTTGCACGGCAACAAGTCCAGCAATAAATGGTATTGTTAATAGACAAGAAAAAAGGGAAAGCCATAGGTTGCTAGAAGGGGCAAATAATACGGTACCAAATAGGTAATGTTACTGGTCCGTCAATTACCACTATTTGTTTTACTGTATACTATTTAAGATTCCAATCCAATGGTGATTGATAGATCTGTAACATTAATAAAGCCAAACCAAGTAGAATGAAGCTGAGTGATGCTAATATGCAATACAGATAAATCCACAAGCAAAAATCTAAACGCACTGTTTATGAAGGAGAAATCTGTAGTGCCCTGTATGAGTTTAAGAATGAGAGCTTTTTGGTCATTCATCTTCCATAACATCATCCTGTGGTGGATAAACTCTAATTCCCTGAAGTATGCTACAAGATTTAAGAATGAAACAGATAGACTAGCTCTGCTGGCTTTCAAGCAAGATGTAACCCAGGATCCCCATTAAGTCTTCAAGTCATGGAACAATTCTCTTCATTATTGTGACTGGCAAGGAGTATTGTGCAGCCGCATGCATTGAGAAAGGGTGACAGTCCTGGATCTAAGCTCACAGGGTTTGGTGGGAACCCTCTCACCACATATAGGGAACCTCAGCTTTCTCAGGATCCTCATACTCCAAAAAAAGGGCTTGTATGGAGAAATTCCATCACAGCTTGGTCAGCTGCATCGTCTAAATATACTGCACCTAAACAATAATTCCTTCCAAGGAGGATTTCCAGCAAATTTAACCAGTCACACCTCAAGCAACTCAATCTTATTGATAACAAGCCCTAAGTTCTCTACCATATCTCGTTGTTCTGGGCCTTGATCGAAATAATTTCAAAGGAAAAATCTGTCCTGCCCTAGGCAATTTATCATCTCTGATTCTGCTCTCACTAACAGAGACGGGCGAGGAAGCATTCCCAAGGATCTTAGTTGATTGACAAGATTGCGGTATCTGCTAACGGGACATAACAATCTGAATGGTCCTATTCCCTCCAGCATCTATAACCTCTCAGACCTCATCAATTTTGCAGCACCCAAAAACAAGCTGGAGGGGAATCTCCCAGCTAATATTGGTTCCACTTAACCCAACCTACATCAACTTGCTTTTGGAGGAAACAGACTCTCAGGTGCCATTCCAGTCTCATTATCAATGCTTCACATCTTGAACTTATTTCTTTTACAGCAAATAGGTTCAGTGCACCAATACCAGCGGAACTAGGAAGGTTAGTGAATCTATCATTGCTGTTCTCAGAGCTAACATGCAAGGAACTAGAGAAGCAAATGATTTAAATTTTCTACCTTCCTTGACAAATTGCTCAAGACTAGAGATTCTAACAATAGGCAACAATTTTCTAGATGGCCCATTGCTGTATTCCATGGCAAATCTCTCAAACCACATCAGATATTTATCATTAGGTGCAAGTCTGATATGTGGTACTCTACCTGTAGGGATTGGGGACCTAGTAGAATTAAAGTTCTTGGATATGCAGTACTTACTGTTGAATGGGAATATTCCTTACACTATTGGCAATCTACAAAAATTGCTACAACTGTACATCCAAGGAAACAGATTGTCAGGGCAAATTCTGGCCCTCCTTGGTAACCTAACTAATTTGTATGATCTCCATTTAGGGCAAAATGAACTGTCAGGAAAAATACCACCAAGTCTCAGTAACTGCCAAAAGCTACAAATGTTGTATACTTCTCACAATAACATCAATGGTGATACAACTCCATCAATTTGTAGCCTTTTCTCTACTATATATATATATATATATATATATATCAACCTATCTCATAATTCTTTGTTTGTTCTCTTCTGGCTGCTGATCTGGAACAACTTGAACGATTAGATGTCTCCGAGAACAAGTTGATGGTTGGCATTTCAGACCTATCTGGCTCTTGTTAAGCTTGGTGTCTCTCTGCATTAAAGGGATTTTTTTTCAAGGAGCAATCCCTCAAGCATTACATGCTTTGAGAGGATTAGATGAGCTGGATCTCTCATGTAATAACTTGTCAGTGATGATACCAGGTTATCTAGGAGAGCTTCCCTTTCTGCAAAAGTTAAAATCTCTCTTTCAATGAGCTTGAAGGTGCAGTTCCTGAAACTGGCATATTCAGAAATGCTAGTTCCTGAAACTGAGGATAATCTAATTGGTATTGGTGGCTATGGTTCTGTCTATAAAGGAATCCTTCATCAGAATGAATCTATCATTGCAGTTCATTGTGATCTCAAGCCCTCTGGATGAAAACATGGTTGCTCATGTAGGAGACTTTGGGTTGGCAAAATTTCTTTCTAAGATTTCTAGTGGTTATGTGAATGAACAATCTAGCACAGTTATAATAAAGGGGACTACTGGATATGTTGCTCCAAGTATATATATAAAACCATGTTAACTTCTATATAATATTTGGACAGTAAACAAACGTTTTAGAAATAACTCGGCTCATCAATTTAATATAAATTTCACCGCAGAGTACGGTATGTGTGAACAGGAGTCTATGCAGGGAGATACGTAAGTTATCGGATATTTCTGCTAGAACTATTTACATCAAAGAGACCAACCGTGACATGTTTAAGGAAGATCTGAATCTCCAAAATCTCACTAGAAAGGCACTGCCTGATCAAGTGATCGACATTTGACCCACATATGCCGCTGGAAAAAGACACAAAGAAGCAGGAGTACATGATCTCAGTATTGAGGATTGGAATTTCATGTTCAATGATAAATGCTAGACACCAGATGCAAATAACAGACGTGGTAAGGTAATTGCATTTGATAAAAACTGCTTATAAAGGTGAAGTCCATCAGTAAATTTAGGCATTAGTACAGGGAGAAATATATCTCCATGAGCCAGTTTCTAGAATACAATAACTGTATAAGAATGCAACTATTGAACTTGAATTTCATGAATAACTATCTCTATTTTCAGTTTTCAGTCACTATCTACAATACAACCAACTCAATTTCCATGAAGTATTTAACATAATCATCTTTTCCCACTCCACAAGCTTTAATTATCAACGCTTGAGCTTTAACTCACATAACAAAATCCTACCTTCTAGCTTTCATCACTATGTACATTTCACTAATAACCCTCAACCACAATACCCTAACACAATATTCTGAATCAGAACAGAACCCTGTAAGCTTACTTGAGTAGCGAAAAGGTTTACAACTCAATAGGGAAGTCTATTTAAAACCAAGTTTGAGTATTTCAGAACAGTTAACCCCAAAAAATAAAAAAAATTGATAAATAAATTTGCCATCCATTGACATGAACATAAATCTTAAGCAATAAGTATTGAAAGTACTTCAAGTAACAGTACAAAAATTAACACGAAAAATTCATTTCAGTTTTATACTACAATTGAAGTAATTCCTTTACTATAACAACAAACATCGCAATTAGAAACAAAAACTATTAATCACAAATTTATTTAACACAATTGAAGTATTAAGCAACACCATATGATATACAAAGTACAACCAAACAAAACTTATTTAACCGACTATTGCCACGTGGCTAAACCAAACCAAAACCTCACCTATCGTTTCTGGCTATCGTAATCAACGATCTCCGAATCCGTCACCGATCTCGAGTGCTGAACTATCGAACGTCCGATTGAGTTAATCCAGTCCTCCTTCTCCTTCTCCGAATCGGCGATGAAGTACATCGTCTCGCTCCTCGTACTCAGCTCAAAAGCGTACTGCTTGTTAAGAACATCTTCGGCTCCTTTCACTGTGAGACAGGAGGCCACTGGGATGACGCCACGTGGCCTAGAGGCGCGTGTGACAGTTGACTCTTTAAACCAGAAGAGTTTGCCTTGTTTTAAAACGAACCATCGGCGACGCCACGTTTTAATGTACTCGCCTTGTTTGGTCAACCAGCCGGTTCGCTCAGGGTTTGACCAGAACTCGACGCCGTCGTAGTCGCTGAGCTGATTAGTTTGGCCCGACACGGCCCGCCAGAGGCTAGCCATGGGTTAATTGGTGGGTTGGGTTTCGGTCGAATTGTTGGTAGGAATATAAGGAGCTAAAAGTTTGGCCGTCTCTCTGTGCACAAAGTACAATGGAATTTTTTACTTTATTTTTGGTAAATTACTTGTTGGTATTTATACTTTTAAAGATATATCAAATATACCCGCCAAAACTGAATTTATAATAATTTTTCTAGATGTGTGTTGTCGGTTGTCACTCGCTCATGTGGTGCTGATATATATCATTTAGATCCTTTTATTTTATCATAATACCAAAGTTGGACTTATAGTTCCAAAAACATGACAAATGCCTTCGTAGAATGTAACTCCTATACAACAAAAGCTATTGATTTACACCTGTTTGCCGGCTGAACCGGGCTCTAGGTTCAAGAAGGAAGTTCCTGACAGATTGCAGTTCATGGACAACATCGGTTATGTTCATTCGATCTTGTGGTGATTCCATTGAGCATGCCACTCCAATCCTCACCATAGAAACGAGACATTCTTGTCTGATGTTGTTTCTTTGTTGAATCAGCCTATGGTTGGTATCAGCCTCATCTTCACCGCTGTTTAGAAGCATTAGATCAACGATTTCCATCACACGGTCAGGCAAGGCCATTTTAGCAAAGTTGTGAAGATTGAGGCCTTCTTCAAACAAAAGGTCTGTGGGCTTTTTCTTTGTTACCATCTCCAACAATAAGATCCCAAAACTGTAAACATCCCCATTTGTTGAAACGTCACTTCCAAGACCATACTCTGCAATCCACAAATATGATTTTTGAGAAGTAATTATTAGTTTGTAGAGATTATGTAGAAAGGGTATGTTATTATCAACATGGTAGGAAAATTCATATCTTGTGGTTACCTGGGGCTGCATACCCAATTGTGCCTCTGACACCAACAGAACTGCTTTGGTTTGGATTTGAGGCTTCTGGAAGAAACCTCGCTAACCCAAAATCTCCGACATGAGCAATCATGTCACTGTCGAGAAGAACATTGCTTGGCTTTAGATCGCAATGGAGGACTGGCTATTGGCAGTGGTGATGGAGATAATCTAGTGCAGATGCTACATCGATTGCAATGTTTATTCTCTGAAGAAGAGTAAGATTCTTCATTTCAAGTTGCTCTTCTTCAGTTTCTGGAGCAAGATGCAACCACTCTTCAAGACTCCCATTTGGCATGTACGCATAAACTATAGCTTTAAAGTCATTACCTTGAAAATCAATACTAGAGCATGAAGTAATGACCTTGACAAGATTTCTGTGACGAATATTTCTTAATGCTTTACACTCAGCCATGAAACTTTTGGAAGCTCCTTGACGTTGAAGGTTAAGTACTTTGATGGCAACAACTGTTCCATCTTCTTCAAGAATTCCCTTATACACAGAGCCAAAGCTTCCCACACCAATCAAATGTGTTGAGGAAAATCCATTGGTTGCTTTAAGAAGCCTTTCGTAAGATACTTTCAAAATTTTCTTTCTCAGGATCAGTCCAGAAGGTTGCTTTCCTCTCCTCTTTCTGAGCCAATAGAAAATCAAAAATGACACCATGACTAATCCTGCAAAGGCGCCTGCAGCTGAAATTATTATTTTGAATGCTCGAGAGGTCTTTTCTTTTTTTGAGCCATTGTTTGTGCATTTGGGTAGTTGCAGGTTAGCTATTCCCCCACAAAGTCGACCACTATTTCCAGCTACTGATACTGTACTTTCATTTGCAAAAACTCCTTTCATTGGTACTTCCCCCTCTAAATCATTAAAGGATAAGTCCAGATGATTCAAGGGAAGAGTTTCCAGGAATTTCGGAATTTCACCGGACAAATTGTTACTGGAAAGATTAATGTCTCGAATACCTCTCAAAGAACTTAACGATGATGGAATAGATCCATTGAAGAAGTTGCTGTCCATATAAAGCTTCTCAAGAATAGAACAAAGACCAATTTCGCTTGGAATTTCACCAGACAACTCATTATTAGACACATCAAATCTCGTTAGGTCTTTCAGGCTACCGATAGTTGGAGGTATAGTTCCTACAAAATGGTTTTGGGCTAGATTTAGGGAAATTGACATATGTACAATATTGAAAATTTCTTCGGGTATGGTTCCACTGAGGTTATTTTCAAAAAGATGCAAAATTTGCAATCGTTTCAGATTTCCTAGACTAGAAGGGACGACTCCGGATAATTTGTTATTATTCAAGTGAAGTTCATCCAGTGTCGATAAGTTTCCTAGGGAGGAGGGAATTTCCCCAGAGAGCTGGTTGTCATGAAGGGCCAACCAACGTAGGTTCTGAAGCTTACCTATTTCTTTGGGAATTGTGCCTGTAAATTGGTTATTCTCCATGCCTAATAAATTTAAGTTGACAAGATTACCTATTCCTGAAGGGATGCTTCCATACAACTGATTTATATTAATGACTAGGTACTGGAATTGAGTTGAGAGATTAGCAATTGAATGAGGCAATTCTCCTTTGAATTGGTTTTGATCCAGTTTCAATTGTTGCAAACTGCTACAGTTTGCCAATGAACTGATAAAACTCATCTCATCAGCTTCCCCACTTCCTAAATTATTAGAGCCTAGGTTCAGGTATGAAAGGTGTTGCATGGCTCCAAAGTTAACTGACAGTTTTCCGGAAAAATGATTACCAACTATTTCAAAAAATTTAAGCTCTGAAGCATTGGATAAAGATACTGGAATGGATCCAGAAAAGAAGTTTTGTGAGATTTGAAATAATTGGAGATGTGGAAGAGTAAGACCTAAACTTGGTGGAAGATTTCCATGAAGTTGATTCTCAGACACAGATAAAATAGCAAGAAAAGTAAGATTGTACATGGAAGGGGGAACTGTACCGGACAAGTTGTTTCCGCCAAGTCCAAGAGATGTTAACTCCTTCAATCCACCAAGAGAATCTGGAATATTTCCTCCAAAAGCATTGTATGAAGCAGATATAATCTGTAGGGAGGTAAGGTTCCCAAGAAAAGTTGGGATCCCTCCTGTCAAATTATTAAAGTGTACAGCTAATGTTTCGAGGTTGTACAAGGCAGTGATCTCAAATGGAATTTTCCCTTCAAGCTTGTTGCGGCCCAAAAATAAGTCTGTGAGCCTGGAACAATGGGACAAATTGGCCGGAATTTCCCCAACCAGGGAGTTATTACCCAGATGTAGAACTTGTAACCGAAACAGACGGCCAAGTTCACGAGGGATTTCACCTTGGAAACTGTTGTTTGAAAGATTGATCTCCCTTAGGAAGCTGAGGTTGCCAATGTAAGGAGACAGAGAGCCAATCAAGCCTCTTGAATTTAGGTCTAGCAGGCTGACTCTTCTATGTTTGCGACCACATGTAATGCCCTCCCACTCGCAGAAATGACGAGAATCATTCCACATGTTAAAAACCCGTTGAGGATCATGAATAATATTTGACTTGAAGGCCTGCAAGGCAACACCATCTGTCTCCATTTCAGCCAATTCTTTTGTGATGAAAAGGGAGGAAGCAGCCATGGTTGTAACTTGCATCACTGTGATGCAGAAAAGAAAAACAGACTGAAAATAAATTGAACAGCCTATCCATATACCCATTTCTGAAACAGAGCAGGCAATTGCTTGAACTAGTTTTTTTGTTCATTTATTTGAGTTTCATCAAAGCTTATATAGTGCTTAGACGCATGTGAACTCATAAATCGAAATTCAAAAGCACTAGCATTAGTCTGAGCTTAAGACAAAGACTTGACTCACTGGATAAAGCTTCAACACAAATTTCCATGACATGTCCCATCTAAAGGTGAAGAAAATTTGGTTGATTATTGGTTCAAAATTACGAATTGAAAAGTCCAGTTCAACTGTTCATATTTTGACAACAAATTCTAACTTCATCAACAAGTTCAAGGTATCTGATTTTCAGAAAGGTTAGTATCTATCAAATTGAGGGACAGTAGACATTAGACATGTTTAAAAGAAATGGAACATTACTCGAAGGCTTCGGCTTTCATTTCAAATAAAGATAACCCATGAATGGTACTTCTACTGATTGTTTAAAAGCATTTTCAACCAAGATAATTGGCTTATTTAAGCTACATTTCCATTATTCTGTAAATTTCCTCTCTGTTCAGCTATAGGGTTTAGGGTATACTAAAAAAAATTTGAGGGTGGGCCAACTAGTATTGCATCCGCTCCTGGTTTTGGCCACTAACTAGTGGTTGACTTTTGAAAATGATGGAAGTGATTTATAATGTTCCCCACTAACTAGTGGAACTTTTTTGACTGTTTTCATCAAGCTCATTTTTACAAAATATATGAAGTTTTACACACAAGAAATTACCTAATCAGTATCCGTTTTCTCAATTTTAGGTAGGGTCCTAAACCCTAATAGTCAAAGCTGGAGTCTGTCACTGTCGAGGCACTTAATTTTCACGTTAAGGAAAGGTGAGCAGAAAATGCCAAATTCTCTTTCGACTTTTTTACAAAAGGTGTAAATATCTTCCACAAGGAATCATAGAAGGTTGCAACAACTTGTTCCAGGAAAGATCCGATGAAAACTACAAATTACAAACACATTCATTGCATACATAACAGAACACCTTGAAAGAAGAAACTACTAACCAGACCCACAAAATGGAAAATTCTGGCATGGCCCAGATTTCGGTAGGGTACTTTCGCATTTTAAATACACTCTCAAATGTAGTATAAAATCTAAATTTTATTTATGGTAATTGTATAATCACCAATGACGTGAAATAAAATCATAAAATCCAAAGCACAAAAATAAGTTGATAAGATGCGGCCACCGTTTACTGCTTTGATTGATGAAGCTCTTAACTTGATTGCCCTGTGATGAGTTAAAAGGGTATTGTTAAAGAGATTAAAGAATAAAAGGGAGACAAAAAGAGTACAGAACTTTTCTCAGGTTAGACTATAAATTTCATAACAAAGAGTCTGGAGGCATGGAACTCAACCATATAAATAGAATTGGATGGAATTTGAAGTATCTTCTTAGGGAAAAAAAAAAAAAAAACTAGAGTGTTGAATATCCAATTCACCTCAGTTCTAATTTCAAAGCTTAAATTCCATCCTACGAAACTCAGAATATTAGAGAAAATTGATTCAGCTACTACTACGTCCTGCCCTGTTGTATCTCACCCAGATATATCCACTTTTTTTTTTTACATTACCTGATAACAGCTACAGGAAATTTCATGTCATTACGTAGAAGTAGAACGGAAGTTGTTAGAATTTTTTGAATCTTACCTCTTTGATTAATGAACACCGTTCTAGGTTGAAGAAGAAAGTTTCTGACCAATTGCAATTCATGGACAACATCGGTTATGTTCATTCTATCTGGTGGTGATTCCATTGAACATGCCACTCCAATCCTTGCCATAGGAACGAGACATTCCTTTCTGATGTTGTTTCTTTGTTGAATCAGCCTATAGTTGGTATCAGCTTCATCGTCATCACTGTTTAGAAGCATTGGATCCACAATTTCCATCAACCGGTCAGGCAACGCCATTCTAACAAAGTTGTGAAGATTAAGGCCTCCTTCAAATATGTGGTCTGTGGGTCTTTTTCCTGTTATCATCTCCAATAGTAGGATCCCATAACTGTACACATCCCCGTTTGTTGACACCTCACTTCCAAGGCCATACTCTGCAATTTTACAAGATTTTACATTAAAATTTATACAACTTTTTTTGTAGACATTTACAGTTATGTTGAAAGCATGTATCAGTATCAGCAGAGAACAAGATATTGTGGTTACCTGGGGCTGCATATCCAATTGTTCCTCTTACTCCGATGGAGCTGCTTTGGTTTGCATCTGAGATCTCTGGAAGAAACTTAGCTAGCCTGAAATCACCAACATGAGCAGTCATGTCATTGTCAAGAAGAACATTGCTTGGCTTTAGATCGCAATGGAGGACTGGTTCCTGACAATGGTGATGAAGATAATCTAGTGCAGATGCCACATCGATTGCAATGCTTATTCTCTGAACAAGGTTAAGATGCCGAATTTCAAGCTGCCGACCTTCTGTTTCCCAAGCTGGATGCAACCACTTTTCAAGACTCCCATTCGGCATGTACGCATAAACTAGAGCTTTGAAGTCTTTACCCTGAAAATCAGTGCTAGAACAAGAAGTTATAACCTTGACAAGATTTCTGTGGCGGATATTTCTCAATGCTTTACACTCGGCCATGAAACTCTTGAAAGCTCCCTGGCGTTGAAGATTAAGTACTTTAACTGCAACAACAGTATCTTCATCAAGGTTTCCCATATACACAGAGCCAAAGCTTCCCGCACCTATCAAGCGTGTTGGAGAAAACCCATCGGTTGCTTTAAGAAGCCTTTCATAAGACACCTTCAAAAGTGCTTTTCTCAGTACAGTTTCTGCAGAAAGTTGTTTTCGTCTTTTCTTTTTAAGAAAATAGAAAACTAAAAATGACACCATGGCTAATCCGAAAAGGGCACTTGTGGTTGAGATTATTATTTTGAGTTTCTGAGAGATATTTTCTTTCTTTGAGTTGTTGTTGGTGCATTTGGGCAGTTGCAGTTCGGCTATGCCCCCGCAAAGTCTATCACTATTTCCAGTAATAGATATTGCACTCGCATTTCCGAAAACTCCTTTCACTGGCACTTCACCTTCTAAGTCATTGAAGGATAAATCAAGATTCTCCAAGGACAGAGTCTCCAAGAATTTTGGAATTTGACCAGACAAATTGTTTTGAGAAAGATCTATCTCTCGAATACCTCTCAAAGAACTCATTGATGATGGAATGGATCCATGGAAGAAGTTGCCCTTCATGTAAAGCTTTTCAAGATTAGAACAATAACCAAGTTCACTTGGAATCTCTCCGGACAAGTTATTGTCAGACACATCAAATCCTGTTAAATCTTTCAGATTACCAACGTTTGGAGGTATAGATCCGACCAAATGGTTTTGGGATAGATTTAGTGAGAGTGACAGACTCAATTTATTGAAAATCTCTATGGGTATAGTTCCACGAAGATCATTGTGGAAAAGATTCAAACTATACAACCGTTTCAGTTGTCCTAGACTAGAAGGGATGATTCCTGATAACTTGTTATTGTTCAAGAGAAGTTCAACCAATTCCGACACGTTTCCCAGAGAAGAAGGAATTTCCCCTGAGAGCTGGTTGTCACTAAGAGCCATCCATTGTAAGTTCTGAAGCTTACCTATTTCTTTGGGAATTGTGCCTGTAAATTGGTTACGCTCCATACCCAATAAATATAAGCTAACAAGATTACCTATCCCTGAAGGGATGCTTCCATACAGCTGATTCCTATTAATAATTAACTGTTGGAGATGAGTAGAAAGATTAACTAATGAATGAGGCAATGTTGCTCTGAATTGGTTTACAGCTAAAGTCAAACTATACAAACTGCTACAGTTGGCCAAAGAACTGATAAAACTCATCTCATCAGCTTCCCCACTTCCTAAATTATTGTTGCCTACATTAAGGTATGAAAGGTGTTGCATTGCTCCAAAATCAACTGACAGTTTTCCAGAGAAATTGTTATCATACATTTCAATAAATTCGAGTTTAGAAGCATTGGATAAAGACATTGGAATGGATCCGGAAAATAAGTTTTGTGAGATTTGAAAAAATTTGAGATGGGGAAGAGCAAGGCCTAAATTTGATGGAAGACTTCCATGAAGTTGATTCTCAGACACAGTAAAATTAGCAAGCAAGGAAAGATTGAAAATGGAAGGAGGAATTGTACCGGAGAGGTTGCTTCCGCCAAGTCCCAGAGATGTTAATTTCTTCAATCGACCCAATGAATCTGGAATATTTCCTCCGAAATTGTTGTAAGATATAGATAACGCTTCAAGGGAGGTAAGGTTCCCAAGAAAAGGGGGGATGCCTCCTATCAGATTGTTCCAGTGTGTACCTAATTCTTTCAGGTTGAACAAAGACGCTAACTCCATTGGAATTTTCCCTGTCAGCTCGTTGCGTCCCACATATAGTTCTCTGAGCCTGGAACAACGGGACAAGTTGGCAGGAATATTCCCTACAAGTGAGTTATTGCCGAGAAGTAGAACTTCTAATCTGAATAGCCGGCCAACTTCGCCTGGGATTTCACCTTGAATTTCGTTTCCTGAGAGTTTGATCTCCCTCAGGAAGCTGAGGTTGCCAATGTGGGGGGACAAGGATCCGAACAAGGCTCTTACCCTTAGGTCTAGGACCGTGACTCTTTTATGCCTGCGACTACATGTAACGCCCTCCCATTCACAGAAATGGCGAGAATCATTCCATGAGTTCAGGACCCCATGAGGGTCACCACTTATCTTTGACTTGAAGGCCAGCAGGCCAACATGATCAGTCTCATTTTCACCCAATTCTCTAGCGATAAAGGTGGTGGAAGCGGCAAAATTTGTAAAATGCATCACTATGAGGCAAAAAAGGAAAAAGAAGTATAAATTGCTTGTACTCATTGCTGCAGAAAGCGATTAGGTTTTGCTTGTCTTTCTGTTTAGTTTATGTGAGCTTCAGCTAGCTTTGTAACTATATATATGGAGCTTCTGAAAATGATAGTTCAAAATTCAAAGGAAAAAGTGCTAGTATGAAACTAAAACAAGGACTGGACTCATTTTATATAAACTTTTTTCATGTATTCTCATTTACATCGTGTTTAAAGGTGAAGATAATTTGGGCTTATTTTTCTAGCTTTCATACTGCTGAATTCAACACTTTTTCCAATTCAACGCTTCATTTCCACAAGACGTTGCCATAACCTTAAAAGCTACTCTTAATTTCTACGGTTGATTTGCTTTATAAGGTTGACTTTCCTGCATGAAAGGCTTGGAATGGAAGGTGCTACACAAACCGACAACTTAAGATAAAAATCTATGTTGAAGAAAGAGCCTTCACCTTTCATTTCGAATCATGATAACCAAAATTTCTCCTACCAATTGCTTTTAAATGCGATTAATTATCACAAGTACTGTTTGAATACTTGGAGTCTGGACTTTGCATCTTAATCTAGCATATAAACAGGCCATTTTGCAATCAAACTCTCTACGAAAGCACCAATGTTAGGATTTAAGTCTAAAAAAGAGCTTAACCTAAAAGATCAATCTCATAGGTGGGAGACCCTTTAGGCTTAAGTATCAAACTTGGTAGGTGTGAGATTCCGATATGGTATCCTAACATTCCCTAATGAATTTTCACTGCATTTCTAGTTTTTTCTACTAGAGGACCATTCCAGATTATAGACCACACACGAAATCAAATTCCTCAGTTCTTTAATTCTTGTTATTTCAATTATATGATATTATGTATATATAAAATTACAAAAATCCCCATCAAGTTGACAAAACCAAGAGCACTTTATGTAAAACTCATACAGAAGTAAAGCGACAGGAGCATATTTGCAACATACTATCGAATTTGCAGTTAGAAAGAATTTTAATCAATTTTCCAAAACAATGATATTCATCCAGCAAGTCACCAACTCAAAACTTAAATTATAAACCAAAAGAACTCGATGATTCTGCATTGGTAGAGCTCATACGACAATTCAATGGCATGTCAATTAAACTAAATTTGGGCTTGAAACGAGGACTTGATTCACTGTATATTTATAACTTTAATAAAAATTTCCTTTCCGTGTTATGTGATGAGAAAATTTGGTGTTTTGATCTACAATTACGAATCTCATGTTTTATTTTTCTGTCGTGTGTGATACCAGGGTCTAACAGACTAACGTAAGCCAAACTTGGATGAAAGAAGAGAAAAGGTTAATAAAAGGTGTATAAAGTAGAATTTCTTTTTATTTTATTTTATTTTTTATCCTTTTAAGATGCTACAAGAAAATCAAAATCAGTCTATTTTTATAATTTTGAAATTCTTAATTTCTTGAAGGAAAAAAAAATTTCATAAAATATCATAAAGATTTTTTATTTTACCATGGCTCTCTAATCAATGCAAATCTTACTAAAGACAAAGACTTGACTCATCAGTTGTCGTTGTCTGTGGAAAAATTTGGTTTATTGGTGTAAGTTGATTCAAAGTTTGTAACCAAAACGGCTCCAATTGACTTAGAAATCTATATATCCACAACAAAATTCTAATTCAAAGTTTTATGCCGTATGTGATGCTTAATTTGAATCCTAGTTATTTTAGACAAACTTTAATGTTCCAAAAAAAAAAAATATTATATTAAGCACTTCATAACTACATAATAACTAAATAATTCTTAATTTCAGAACTTGGCTTATGTTTCAGTTACACTAACCTCAAAATCTTAACAGTATATGCTCTGGATTATGCTTAATATTCATACACTACACTTCTTAATATAAATTTGATCAGTTACCTTCTAAGGGCAAACAATGACTACCCAGATTTATTTATTATCAGTAAAAAATAAAATTATACATCCATTTATAACATATTGCGAGTTGAAAATTGTTTAACAGACCTTATTCTAAAGTTGTATAAGACATTTAATTATAAAACACAAGAAAATTACTCATATAGTTACAGTAGTCTCTCACCCCGTCTTGGAGTTTGAAGAAGTTTGTTCTTGATAGAATGCAAATGGGTTGTAACTTCATCCATGTTCGTCCTTTCACTAGGCAACCCTAAAGAACAAATGACTCCAATTCCAAATATGGAAATCAAGCACCCCTGAACATTGTGACTTCTCAAGCTTGTCTGCCCTTCTTCTATTTCTTGAAGAAGAACTGGATCCACTATTTCAATGACTCCTTTAGGGATAGCTGCCTTCACAAAATTATGAATATTCAGATCGCCATTAAAATTCTCATCGGTTGGCCTCTTCCTTGTAAACGTCTCCAATATAAGTATGCCATAACTGTACACATCACCATGAGTTGAAACCTCGCTTCCCATACCATACTCTGCAATTGGAAATATCATATATTTGGACAAAAAACCTCCCTATATATAATATAGCTTGTATAACCACATTTTAAAGGAATGATAAAATAGGTAAAAGTATTTACCTGGAGCAGCATAACCAACAGTTCCTCTTACACCAATGGAGTTTGTTTGATTACATGAAAGGCTATGGATGCCCTCTGGAAGGAATCTGACCAATCCAAAGTCACCTACATGTCCTGTCAACTCATCATCAAGAAAAACATTGCTTGGCTTGAGATTGCAATGAACCATTGGTGTTTGGCCATGGTTATGAAGACAATCCACTGCACAAGCAACACTGATAGCAATATCAAGTCTTTTTAGAAAATTTAGATTCTTGGGCGCCACTTGCAATGCATTCGTTGTTAGATTGGGATGTAACCACTCCTCTATGCTCCCATTAACCATAAACTCATAGATCAAAGCCTTGAAATCATTTCCTTAGTTATAAACACTTGCACAAGCAGTTATTCTTTTGACAAGATTTCGATGTCTGATACTTCTCAAGGCTTCACATTCAGCCAAGAAACTCCTGGAATCTCCTCGATGTTGAAGGTTAAGAACCTTCATTGCCACTACCATTTTGTTATGGTCTAGGATCCTCTTATACACATAACCAAAACTCCCCGAACCGATCAAATTTTCTAAATAGAACCCAGTAGTTGCTTTTAGCAAATTCTCATAGGACACTTGTAGAAGTGAAGCCAACAATGGTGATGCAGAAGAGGAATTTCTTTATGTTCTTCTCCACCAACGAATAATTATCAAACATAACAACATAGTTAGCAACAACATTCCAACAATTATAGGAATTTTCACTGTTTTTGAAATAGATCGAGTTTGCTTTGATCTTTTGATTGGACAATTGGATACATGTAACTTGATTATGCCACCACAAAGTTTATCGTTTCCCAAAAGTGAAACAACACTTGCGTTGTTGAAGACTCCCACAATTGGTACTTGACCCTCGAAGTCGTTGTTAGATAAATTTAGGTTCATCAAAAAGGGGAAGTTCACTAAAAATTTGGGTATTTGGCCAGACAAGTTGTTGGATGAAAGATCAAGATATTCAATGCCTCTAAAAGAACTCAAGGATGATGGGATATTCACTTGAAAAAAATTACCGTCTGTGAATAGTTGTTGCAAGCTAATGCAACTGCCTAAACTATCAGGAATTTCACCAAACAATTTATTCTTAGATATATATATAGACCACCCAGATTTATAAGGTCACCAACATTTGAGGGCAAGGAACCAGTCAATTGGTTTCAAGATAGATCAAGATAAATTGACAAGGATGAGAGAGCAATCACTTCAGGGGGTATGGCAGCGCTTAGATTGTTATAAGAGAGATCTAATACTTCTAAATTAGTGCATCTCCCAAAGACTTGAAGGAATGTTCCTCTGTAAGTTGTTTCTATCTAATCTAAATTTTGTTAACAATGTTAGATTGCCTAGAGAAGATGGTATATCCCTAGATAACCTGTTCTTTTGGACCAGCATAACATGTAGCTTTTGAAGATTCCCAATATTGTTGGGAATATGGCCTGTGAAATGGTTCCTTGCTAGATGTAAACACTCCAAGTTAACAAGATTGTCTACTCCTGTTGGGATTTTTCCAAACATTTGGGGTCCGTTTGGTTCATTATTCTGATAGTTTTTAGAATAATCTTTTGAAAAAAGTTAAATTGGGCGGGTATTACGATGTAGGATTTGAAAATTAATAAAAATATACTCTATGTTTGTTTATTTATTAAACACCCCTATAATAAAATATTAAAAGCAAACAAAAACACCCCCAACCCACCCATTAAATATGGACAGCCGGCCACCACCGCCGAAGGGTGGCTGGAGTGTTTTTGCAATTTCTAAAAAAAATATTTGGGGGTATTTAGTTAAATTAACAAATTTAGGAGGTTTAAAAGAAATTGAAAAATATAGAATAATATTTTGGGAATAATGACATTTTACTGTTTAACTTTTTTGGGAATACTAATAATAGTATTCCCAAAAGCGAAACAAACGAAGCCTTGATTATTCATAACTGCTTGTATTTTGAGTTGGGTTGACAAATTTCCTATCACTTCTGGCAACATACCTCTAAATATGTTATCATTAATAGTCGGTAGCTCTAAGCTCGAATCATTTTGCAAGGAATTGAGAAACTTCAAGTCATCTTCTTTACCATATCCTAATTCATTTAGAGAAAGGCTAACCTTCTGTAGTTTGTGTAGGTTTTCCAACGTGGGCACCTTTCCACGAAATCTATTTCTTTCAATCTCAAGACTGATTAGATTTGAGGCATTGGATATTGAAAGAGGATTGGGTTTGGTAAATTGGTTGAGACCAACATATAGTTGTACAAGATTAGGAAGAGTGAAGCCTAGGTCTAAGGGTAGACTCCCTTTAAGTTAGTTCAACTGAAAACTGATAACCACGAGCAAAGATATGTCATAAATTGAGGGAGGAATTGTACCTGATAGCTTATTTTCTTCTACTT